TTTAATATGCTATATATTAAACTCTTTTAAAAAATAGATAACAGAGTTCAGTAATGGACCTAGTCTGAGAAATGTGGGCAGGATTAAGTAGTTGAATGAAGGAAAGTACAGTACCTGGGGTTGCCAACCCTCGGTCTAAGGGCGTGGAGAGGGAGCCACTACCAGGGAAGTGTAGCTGAGCAAGGACCAAGACTGAGGAGGACCGAGACTAGCACCTACCAGGGAGGGTTACACAGTAGGTACTTAGTCTCTTGTCTCCTCCCTGACCTGTGTTGTTGGCTGGATCCAGAGAGAAAGTAGAGAAGGCGGAGGGAGGGCAGGAGGTAGACTGTGGAGGTCTAGAGCACAGAGCCACGGAAGGTGCCCAGCTCAGCCTCACATCCCCTTTGAGCTACTCGTTTCTCTAGGCTGAGGAAATGTGTTTAAAACAACAAGGGTAGCTCTACCAGCGTCACTAAAATGTGTGCACTGTCCTAACTTGAGTGAATTTCAGTAGCAGTAGGCTAATGTGAAGAGGAAATGTTCTGGGTGAGCATTTTCTATTTGGAAGAAATGGTGCTAATTTTTGTCACATTCATTTGTGGTCAGTTATATCATTATGACTCATCACTCCAAGGAGGAAACAGGAATCATCAGGAGGACAAGTCCCTTCTTTATGCTGTCCAGGCTTACACTGAAAGAACGAAACCAAGGACTAAGGCAGGTCATGAATATATCAGAATACTCTCCTAAAATACCATCTTAGGGCTATGAATTCAAGCAAGTGTGGTCCTCTTTTTGTTAACTTGTGTTACCACATACTTGCTTAAATATTAAATGATTTTATTAGACTAGACTTAACTCAGTTGATAAGACAAAAGGAAAAGTGTTGCTATTTCTATTTTGTAGTTTCTATGAAAAAGTAGAAGCAGTTGAATATAAAACAGGATTTTAATTTTTTATATTGTTTAATGTTTATAAAGCAAGAAATAATAAAGTGCATATATTATTTTCTTGATTTACTTTGCTCTTGGTTTTCAAACATTAAAAAGTAATGCTTTATATGTTCTTGTTTTATTGCAACAATAAAAGAGAAGCAAAAGCTTATCTGTTAAACTCTCATATTAAGTAACCTTTCCTTTTATCATTTCAGACTTTTCAGAGTTACATTGTTTTTTATTTATTTTTCATTTTGCATTGGTAGAATTATAAGTTGAACAAGGAAGAATGATATAATTCATATATGTTTTGTTTTTATTGTGTCAAATTTATATTTTCTGGTTAAAGATAGATATCTTTAAGCATTAAAATAAAAATATTACAAGTAAGAACTGTAGAGTGAAATAAGCTCAGGACTAAGTACTAAGCTCAGTACTCAGTACTCAGTACTAAGGATCATTTTACCGAAAATGATTTTCTATGTTCCCAAGTAAATGCTGTTAGCATTTTTCTGAAGTTTCTGAAAACTGTCAGTGAGTGGACTGGTTATTTGGACATAAGGTGACGTTTTACATTACAGGTAGCATAATCTTAATGCTGTTTAAAATTTTGATTTTCCTCAGAATCAGCTTAAATGCTCAGAGCCAAGGAAATGCATGAGACATAGGTCATGTGAGAGTCTGTTTTACTAGTGCCCCATGCAATTTCTCATGGCACTGTGGCCCTGAACGCTTTTCATCTAAAAGATGCACATATTTACAGACCATGGGACAGAGTGGTAGGAATTGCAGACTCTGTGGAAGAAAAGTACTCTGTGGATTTGCCTCCATTGTGGAAAAAACAAGACTAACCAGTTCCTTTACTGCATAGCCCAGCTTCCCGAGCTGTGACTTACCTGTGGCGACATTCACTTTGCTATAGCGGTGACGTCTCATGCTCAAAAGCATATGTATGACAAACACATGTAACCTATTTATTTAGTTCATTTTCTGAGGATTACTCCAGATATAATAGGGTATTTGTGCCAACCTGAAAGCTATCAGAAAAGGATGGCAAAGAGAGACCAGAGGTGGAGAAAACTAAGAATGCTTTCGCTTCTCCTCATTATCTGGTGCTTGGTTGGGAAATGAGCACCTGCTCACTTTCCTTCCCGTAAGGGAGTCACTATGTCTTCTCAAGAGGTAGGAACCAGGCCTAGGAGAGGTCACAGACGATGTAAAAGTTGGAAGAGGAGGGAAAACTTTCTTGAAAGGCCAAGCGAAAAGAAAAGCAACAGTTAAGCAAGGAGTGCAGGAAGTCCAAGGAAGGAGGTTTATGTCACCCATGTCTGGTTCTTGGAACTGACTAGCTGGTTCCTACCAAGCCTTCAAACTTCATCCATGTCCTTTTTCTGGAAGCCCGTTCCTAAGAGCTATACCCCGCCTTCAGCCATCATCTTCTGGACTCCCAGGGCAGTCTGAGCTGTGCCCACAACAGTCCTTCTCTTGCTCTGGTGCCAATGGACACAACTTCTTTCGTTGGTTGGGGCAGTCTATTCTCTGACCTTGCTTCACTTTGCATAGAAAAAGTACTCAACAAATGTCTGCCAGAAACGTCATTGTTTCTGGGGTATCGGATTGGGTAAATAAAGCATTCTTAGTTTTCTCCACCTCTGGTCTCTCTTTGCCATCCTTTTCTGATAGCTTCCAGGTTGGCACAAATACCCTATTATAGCCCCACTTCAACATTCAGCAAATATTTTTAAATCTGGTTGTAACTGAACTGCAGTCCTGACCTGCAGAGATTCACCGTGTGAGCAAGGAGACCCGCACACATAATTGTCTGTTGACTTCCACAGTGAAGGGGGAAATGCACTGTGAGGACATGGAGGACATTCATCATGATGGGTAGCATCCCAGAAGCACAGGATCGAGATGCCTGCCCAAGGCTATCAGCAGGAGGACTTTCTCCTACCGTGGGTGTGGCTCTCAGATGAACTTAATCGTCAAGATCCATGGATTGCGGGATCAACCCTGCATCTTAATAAGACCTCTCCTAGGCCTGGTTCCTACCTCTCCAGGAGACATAGGGACTCCCTTACGGGAAGGAAAGTGAGCAGGTGCTCATTTCCCAACCAAGCATCAGATAATGAGGAGAAGTGAAACTGAGGTGACAGCACGCTTTTCAACATCTTGAAGACTTTCACATTTCTAAAATCAGAGGGCAAGAAATTACTGAAAGGCAGGATTAGAAAACATTTGAAAAATAAATACTGGAATAAAATGTTTTGACTCATAAGGATATGTGATGAAATCATAAAAAAGATTCAGTTTGCCCCCCCCCACCCCCCAAAAAAATGTCCCATGGAGGGGATAAATTATCTTAACAAAAGAGTGGGATTGATCACAGCTCCTGATACCATTTGGAAGTCGTTTAAATGCAAGTGCCTCAGTGGTCTGCTTCTATCCAAAAAGGTTCAGAGCTGAGACCTACTGAAGAGTTCTATAAAGAAGACTTCTGAAAATTACATCAGCTTTGTAACGTTTTCTAATAAAACTTTAATATTTTTCTTTCAGAATCAAAAAGTCAAACAATGTATGTTTTCTGATTCATCCCTTCAGCATTTAAAAGCTACTTAAGTACAAGACACTGATGTAGATGTTACCTGTGTTTTTATTTGCAGCTCCCTACCCCTATGCAGTGCTTTCTTCTTGAGAAGAAAAACCACAGGCAAAAGTATCTATTACTGGGGCTGGGAATTTAGCTCAGTGGCATAAGCGCCTGCCTTGCAAGCAGGCAGTCGTGAGTTCAATCCCTGGTACCGATAAAAAGGAAAAAGACAAAAAAAAAAAAAAAAGTATCTATTACTGGAGAGGCTTTGTTCAGAAGCTAGCTGTTGGACATTTGCTAGCCAGGGGAGCTTGAATAATAAAGCAATTGCTTTTTCTGCCCCAAAATCCTCAAGAGTTTATTGTTCATAATGTGACCCTAAGCAGAAATGGTCTCTTCCCCCTTTTATAATCATAAATCTTGCACTGGGGAGACAAAGCATGATGATATTTATGTGAATACAATTTAGTTAAACAGTCATACTTTGCATATGAGTGGACATCATGCAAATAAATGTATGTATACATTAAGGTTGGACAGCACTTAAAGAGATTTAATAATTCATCCCATTGCCTCTGCACATAAAAGAACCAAAGTCACATTTATGCCATTGCTAAAATATGTTGGATAATGATGCATTCATGTTTAATATTGCTAATAAATTTAAAAGCCCACATTTTATTGATAAATATTTTCTTGAAATGCAGTCTAGGAGGATAGCTTGTTAAATTTAAGTACTTTATAAATGAGAATTGTAGATAGCAATGTGATGAGTGGAGGTGCTATATCAAGAACCATCTACCAACTTACCTGCACTCCTCTGAGCACTCAGCAGTGGTTTTCGTATTTCACTTTTATGTGTGACCAAATTGCACACAACTTTAGGGATAAAAATTAGTATAGTAACAGAGTAATGATCATAGTAAATATTGTGTTTCTCCTTGTTGACTTAAATTACATGCAGTGCAGTACTTTAGAAAAAATATTTCTTAGTCTAGTTTAATATATTGAAATACTTTGCCTATAGAAGTTGTATTCAGGAGAAATAAATGAAACTCTAATAAGATTATCTCTGACACGCATATAAAAGGTATATTGTAATTTCCAGACAGTTTGAGGTCTAAATTATTTTTACACTTTAGAAACCATAAAAATCTCATTAATATTTTCATCCAATAGACTTTAATATAATACAATAAAGCTCAGAATATGCAAAGATTTTTTTTCCTTTTTGGGTTAGTTTTCTATAAAATTTCTGAAAAATATTTTAAAAAATAAATATATACCTTATAAATAACATTTTGCAGTTAATTTTCAAATAACTGGGTAAAATACATTTTTATAATGGAAATTTTGCTGTACTTAGTTATTATACAAATATCCTAATGTTCTTTCCACTGGTTGCCCCCCTGAAATGATTGGAGTATTTAACTTTTTAAATTTTATTTTATAGCAAAGATGGACTTTATGTCTCATTTTCTCTTCCTATTAAGATTCCAGAAGTTTATTTCATTAGAGATTCCCATACTTTCCTCCTCACAATGGACTTTATTAAGGTATATTTGTTGTATTTAGTGTTAAAAAATTCATTATTCTTTAGCTGCATGCATGAACTCACAGGTTAGCATTTCCACACTTAACCCCAGCTTCTGTTAGTAAGAAAACAGACATGGCTAACTGAAGCATGTTTGGAAGAAGAAGCAAAGCTTGTCTATAAAATACTAACACTTGGATGATTCTGCACCCTGAGAAAAGAGCACCTGGTGAATTTTCTGGACTTTTTTCATGGCTGACTTGGGATACACTTGCATTGTCAAAGAATGTTTTGACCTCTGTCTTTGATGCATATTGATTATGACAGTCACCCTCCTTGCCCCGCAGGCCATGGAGGCACAGATACAGAACTTTGGACAGACGCCATCTCAGTTGCTTATTGAGCCACATCCACCTCGGAGCTCTGCCATGCACCTGGTAAGACATCAGTATGAGGAGGTTTTTTCTTTTTTTTTTAACCTGAGAATGCAGCAGACAGTGATTTTAGCGACATTTTTAATGGCTTCTGCGTTTTTGGTTACCTCTTCAGCCAAAGGACCTACTGATTCCCCAGGGAGCAACACAGAAAGGAATATAAGTCTCATTTTTTAGTCCTGTGTATTAAACTACCCCAGATTTGCATTCACAAAAACAGCCATTCTCTCTGTGTATGCCACTGCACAAACTCATGCATGCACACACAGGCTTTCAGACACATGCTGGCACCGGCTGAAATCAGATTTGTAAATTACAGTGAAAATATAAACAATATGATAGCATCAAATTTAATTTCGGGGGGCAGGATGAGGTAAGGAAAGTAGTTCATTACGAGAGAAGGAAAGAAATAGGGAGGTAACTTACGACCCCTGCAGAGAGCCTGTCAAACAAAGTGGTTAAGAGGAAGGGCTGGGAGCCATATGTAGACCAAACAGCATCCCTACCACTCTTCCATGACTTGGCAAGATATTTAACCCCTTTGTGTTCACATTTCAGCATCTGTATCATAGAGGTAAAAATCAGTCATTCAGAACATAGGCACCCACTCCTCAATAGTCCTTAGGCTCTGGTCCCTGTGTTCTTTCATTTTAATCTAAATGTAAACGTCCATTTTCATGACTAAACAGTCCCTTTTCAGTTTATCAGTACCTACGTTAGTAAACATTTCCCTCTTTATCTAACTTGACACAGTAAAACATTTTCTGAGAAACTTCCTTGGAATATACTTTTTAACTCTTTAATTTTTCACAGATTTTGGTTAAAAAAATACTTGTAGATTAAAAAACATTTCCAAAGTAAACTGCAATTCATCAGCTTTTCTGTACTATCATTAAGTCAAAAGGTTTTGGGAAAGCCAGGTGTGGTGGCACACACCTGTAATCCCACCGCCTGGGAGGCCAAGGCAGAAGGATCGCTGTGAGTTTGAGGCTTGGTTGGACTACACAGTGAGACACTGTCTCAAAAAGAAAAAAAAAGACAACAACAAAAATGTTTTTGAGAATAGAGCCCTAGAATACTGCCATAATTTATATAAATAATATAAATTTATAACCTGTTATTTTCATGATGAAAGAATTTTTCATGCTTTTTATTTATTTAACAAATTATTCAGTTATTTAATGAATTTTATTGAGCCCCTTTGGTGTGTCAGATGTGATGCTAACACATGGGAGGTGCAGAGAGATATATCCTCTGCCAAAGAATCTGTAGTCAGACCCTAGAGAAACACACAAATAAACAGGCTTGTTTTAGAACCTCTTTTCCCTCGCTGTAATTGCTCAGCCAAACAGCTGCCTGCAGAAGGTCCCTCTGGGTATAAAACAGGAGGGCTGGCACAAGCACAGGCTCCACCCGGAGAGGCCCCTCCACCATGTCAGACCTGGGGCTGTGGCCCGAGAGACTCAGCCGTGGAGATGAAGGCTTTCTAAGCTGTCCAGGAGAATATCTCTAACACTTTATTTTATGAATTTTCTAAAGTTTTATTTTTGGCAGAAGAGTTTTATTTCCGCCTTTGTTTTCTCTGTTTAATAATAATAATAAAAAAGTAGTTATCCTGGAAGAATGCCCAGTCAGAATTCATTACATTCCTCAGGGAAATTGCTAGAGGCGAAAATGGTATGGAACTATTTAACAAAGAAAATCTAAGCTTTCCAAGTTCATGTTGCGGAGGATTCATGTATACAGGAAACAATTAAAATATGTCCACGAAAGCTAAATAATGATTATTTCCAGCATACTTATTTTATGCTTTTGTACAGTACTTAACAGTACTTTATAGTACTGATAGTATCTGCAGTCTACAAGTCATATACTAAACGTTTTAGAGGTAGGGTTAAAAAAAAGAAGGAAAAGTGTTGGGTCTCTGTAAACTTCAGTCTAGAATGGGCAAGGAGGCAAAAAATCATCAACAATCAGCACTGAAGCCTAACGGTGTGCAGAACCCTGACGGGGCAGTACTCAGGTTGCTTTATAGACACTGTTATATTTTAATTACTTAGACTTTACCCAGTACCCCAGATCAGCCAGATAGAAATGAAGGTATCAGTCAGTTTACTTTGTGTTACATGTAAACAGTATCGATAGCTGATTGAATTTTTCCAACAAACTGATGTTTTTTAACTGTGCTAAAACAATTATGTTGCACCTTGTGGCCACTGCAACTGTGAGCTGACTTGCTGGATTGTAGCCTAACCATATTCACATCGAGGCTGTTCAGAAGCCAGTGTCCCGTGTCGTAACTTCACAGAGTCTCGGCCCTCTCCCCTCAGTGCCATCAGTGAGGGAGAGCTGCCCGTATGGGACAGGAAGGGGCCAGTGGGACAGTTCAGGTTGCCTGGCCTTCCCTGCACGGGTCGTGCTAACCTCATCTGTTTTAACCTCCGCCTCCCCGACCTTACACTAACTCTTATCCCTTTTGTTTCCTTCTGCTCCCTTCCCTTTCTACTCAACAGTGTTTCCTTCCACAGAGCCCACTCATGTTTAAAGATCAGATGCAGCAGGACGTGATAATGGTGCTCAAGTTTCCATCCAACTCTCCGGTAACCCACGTGGCTGCCAACACACTCCCCCACCTGACCATCCCTGCAGTGGTGACGGTGACTTGCAGCAGACTGTTTGCAGTGAACAGGTGGCACAACACAGTAGGTATGTGGCCCTACACAAGGCGCCCCCAGAGAGTTAAGGCGAGGAAGTGTGTTGGGCTAGCAGGTCAGAGGAGACTGTCTTAGAGCCTGGCTGGCTGATTCTGTCCTGTCTTCTCACTGCAGTTGTGTCAGTGGTTTACAGAAGGTTTGGTTGATGGTTAACAGGACAGTAAGTCCTCGACATCAACCTTCACATTGGGAGCTTTCACAGGTGTCCTGTGTAAGACACTTTGTTGGTTTACAAGTGAATGTAGCCAAGGAACAATTCTGGAATGGACCTGGGGGCTTACTGCACCTACCTGATTTATGGGAGCGTTTTTGCAAATACTTCAGGTCCTCCCCCTCTATCCTATCCAACCCTCACTTCATCCCATATTAAACAAAAGTGAGTTTGACTTTGGATTTATCACAGAATCTTGGAATCCTCTCTCTTTTTTCAGCACCATTAATTTATTTAGCAAGTATTGAGTCACCATTATGTGTCAGGTAGACCAAAGCACTTGGAATCTCACAGCAGTGAATGAGATAGACACTGTTGTGGGCATAGTCTGTTGAGTGATTTCACATATGTTTTTTCCAAACTCATTTCTGAAAGTTCCTGTCAGTACATCTTGAAGTGATACAGTGCTGTCACAGAAATTTAGACATATTGATACTTCTTTAACCAGAGCTGAAGGGGATGTGACCAAATGATTTAGTTGGCCCAGATCTCACTAGGAGCCCGAGGACTCCCGCTGTTTCCAGGACTGAAAAGATGAGCCATGCTGAATTAACCTGGATCATGCTTTTCTACTGACTTCTACCTTGCTCTGAAAAGCACAGTGATTTATTTCTTGGTTGTATCTCCCAAGAGCTTCTCAATGTACCGATTTTATGGTTATTTTGTGATGTTACCAAACTGGAGTAGCACCACTTCCATTCATCAGAAGTGTGCAGCAAACATTTAATTAAAAATATATAACTTTATTATTCACAGGACTCTTAAAATGTTTTGCATTGAGTAAAACTTAAAAAGGACAAATTTTTTTTTCTCTCTTTTTTTGGTACCAGTGATCGAACTCACAACCTCGCGTTTGTGAGGCAGGTGTTTATACCACTGAGCTAAATCTCCAGCCCTAAATGTTTCTTTAAAATTATCAAAAGTTATAACTTTATAATTCAGATAAATGAGGAGCAGTTAATCAGTTAAATCCTAACAGTTAATCCCCTGAAGGTAACTACTGCAGGAGGGTCCCTAAGGTGGGAGGCCACTCTAAAGGAGCCCAGGTGCCCATCATCTCCGCTTGGAACTGTGGTCTTTGTTAGATTTCAGACTTCTTGGTTACCTGGAGACTTTCAGCTTTCTGATGAGTTCAGGAAATGTTAATACCCTTTGTTTTATCCAGCTTTTTCTTATCACTTTTTCCAGCTTTCTACATCTTAAGTAGAAACCAGAAATCCCTCTTGTGATAGTATTTTAGGGTTATTTACAAAGTCACAACATAGGGACTGGGGGTTTTGCTCAGTGGTACAGCACATGTCTAGCAAGCTGGAAGCCCTGGGTTCAGTCCTTAGCACAAAAGAAAAAAAAACCAAAGTCATAGCATATGGCTGAACCATTTTTTGGAAAAATCTGTGAAATTTTTTAATCAAACGTGTATTTTTGAAATCATCATAAGACAGTGTTTGTTTAAAAAGTATTCTTTTCTGATAATTTTATAGTAGTTTTCTGTCTCTCTTTTTAAATCTTTAGGTCTCAGAGGAGCTCCAGGATACTCCTTGGATCAAGCCCATCATCTTCCCATTGAAATGGACCCATTAATTGGTATATTTACAAACAGAATTTAAATTTCATGGATACTGAGTACTAACATTTTTATGCAGTAGCTTTTCATAAAAGATAAATAATGTTTTTTGTGCTACAAAACAATGTGCAATAATATTGAATTATCATCAAAGAGCTGTGCAATATAACACTGAGTTATCACCCAGGAGCTGTGCAAATCATATGCTGAGAACTTTTTGCTATTAAAACAATTATCCATGTCATTTTCTTGTTATTTGAGGAGGTGATTTAAATTTATTATAAACAGGGGCTGGGGATTTAATTCAGTGCCTTAAGCGCCTGCCTGGCAAGCACGAGGTCATGAGTTTGATCCCCAGCACCAAAAAAAAAAAAATTATTATAAACAAAGCAAATAGTACCTGGGTGTAATGATGCATTACTGTAATCCCAGCCCTCAGGAAGCTGAGGCAGGAAGATTGCTGTAAATTCAAGGGCAGCCTGAACTACATAGCAGACGTTGTCTCAAAAAAAGAGAAAGAAACAAAAGAAAAGCAAATAGCTATAAACAGCTCTTTGTTTCAGCCTAAAATATTCTGAAATCAATAGTATTTAAATTACAGTAACAAGATTCAAAGAGAGTATTAAAAGACATTAATACTGAAAAACATCTTTTCTAGGAATGTCTGTTTGACAAAGCTAAACTAAAAAAAACTTACATAAATTATAATCTCATGAGCTGTTAACTGTTTGTGACAGATATTTGAAATATTGTAATCACATACACTTAGTAATCACATGATGCCCCTTAATCTTTCTAGGCCTCTCCGTGTCATATACATGAGATGGTTTATAGTAATGTTTATTCTATATATTTTGTAGGGTCACTTAGAAAATCAAATTTAAAAATCAAATTTAAAAAAAACTAAAGTGGTTTGAAAATTATTAATTTTTACATACAAGTTATGGTATTTTATTTTCACCTTTGAGCTGACAGAAAGAAGATAGCCATTTCCATTAGTTACTTACCCCTATACAAAGAATATTTACATGTCTTGAGAAGATAAGAGGCTTAGGAGTGGGAATATTTTTAGAGTCCAGCTTAGTTGTCCTCCTGTCCAACAGCCATTAACAGCGAAGTGCACAGCAAGTGTAACCATGGAAAAATAAAGAGGTCTGTTCTGATTAATCAGGGACAAATTACACAGTTCTCCAGGCACCCACCCCTCTGGCTGCCATTTCTTTACTGTTGTTCTTTAGGGTAATTTTTCTTGTATTGCTCACCTTCCCAGTAATTGCTTTTATAATGATGGCGGCTACCTACAATACTGTAGTAACACTTAGATTTAATCAGTGTCAGAGAGTGGTTGTGGTGACCTTCTACATCTGCATTTTCTGTTTAAGAATTCTGACCAGGGATTTCTCCTGAAAGGATGGCGTAACTATAGGGACAGGCTGGCATCCAGACAGGCACTGGGGAAATCAGCTGTGTCTCTGAGTTCCTGACTTTATTCAGAGGCAATCCCAGTGCTACACGCTGATTCTCTGCCTGTCTCTTTCCTCCCCGATTTCTCTCCCACCCTTTTTATTCTTCTCTCCCCTGCCAACCCTTCCTGGAAAGGCCTTCTGTTATTGACAATTCAGAGCTGCTGACCTAAAGCTCCCTGTGGGGCTTCCTACCTAATAACGTCCTTTGCTCCATCCCTGCCTCCTCTTGTCACACAAACTATAAATCCCATTGGAAAAAATGACAGATTGCGACAAATATTAATGTAACTTTTCCTTATGTAACATACTTCACACAATATCCTTTATGCAGTTCTTGCTGGATACTAACGAGCTTATGCATAGTAGACGCCTACAGAATTAAATTCACTTAAATATTTTTATTATGGTCTTCATTTTTGAATTCCTCATACTGTTTGTATTTATTGGTGGTAGAAGAACATACATTTTTGGCATAGTTTTTAAATATATACTATGATTCATAAATAATCAGTGCTACAAAGTAAATTTACAGTCCTCAAGGAAAAATGTCAAAATCTTAAAATTTAGGACTCTTTAGAATCTCTCTTTTCCTATCTATTTTAGCCAATAACTCTGGTGTGAACAAACGGCAGATCACAGACCTTGTGGACCAGAGTATACAGATCAATGCGCATTGTTTTGTGGTCACAGCAGATAATCGGTATATTCTTATCTGTGGATTCTGGGACAAGAGCTTCAGAGTTTATTCTACAGAAACAGGTAACCTTAATTATGAAACAGTTCATTTTGTTCTCAGTGTTTGATGTTAAAACGAGAGCTGAATATGAGACCGTACTTAATACTGTAGGCATTTCTATCATTTGCCAATGTTGATTAAGGGTTACAATTTGAATGTCATGTTCATAATATAGGCTAAGTAACTTTAACTCTTACCATTCTGAGTTTTAGCATGATCCCTAAGGCCCCTTCCCTAAATTCATGTCCACTGAAAGCAAAAGACCTTAGCAGAACACAGTAGTACTTGCTTGTAATCCCTGCATTCTGCCAGGCTGAGGCAAGAAAATCACACGTTAGAGCCCAGAATGGGCAGTTAGATGACTTTAATACAGAATCCTAAGAGTCAGCTGGAGAGGGGTAAAGGATATAGCTCAGTGGAAGGCCCTAGCTTCAGTCCTCATTACCACCAAAGACAAACAAACAAAAACAAGTGAAGAAACAGAAGCCCATTAAGTTCTTAGTCTAGCAGACCCCTATAAATGATCAAAGTTGTATTATATTGTAAGTTGTATTATATTGTAATTCCCTTAAAAATTCCAAGTAACATTCTTTTTTTCAGTTTTCAGAAGCAAGATAGCAAGCACTCATAGCTAGATATGATTGCCTTATAAAGTTGATACTGTATGGATTGATTTTTCACAAATCTAGTAAAATAAAGTCAAGCTTGTTGCCATCTAAAGAAAGAGAGTAATTAAGTGAACCTGTCCTTTCTGTGCAGGAAAATTGACTCAGATCGTGTTTGGTCACTGGGATGTGGTGACATGCTTGGCCAGGTCTGAGTCCTACATCGGTGGGGACTGCTACATCGTGTCTGGGTCTCGGGACGCCACCTTGCTTCTCTGGTACTGGAGTGGACGGCACCATATCATAGGAGACAACCCCAACAGCAGTGAGTGTCTGTCTACAGTTGATCTGTCAAACTGTAAATCCACTTAAAGAGATTTTGCTTTTCCTGAATCATTTTCTTGAGACTGTAAGGATTTAACAATATAAAAGATTAAGTGGCCAAAAAAAAAAAAACTTACTGGAATTTGAACACAGTGTTCAAAGAATAAATAAGTAACTACGATTAGCTTCAGCCTGGAGAGACACTCTGATCCCCTCACCCTGACCTGCTGTCCACTACCCAGCCCCCTCCCCCCAACCCAGATACTTTACCTGCTCCACTGCAGCCTGGTGGTTTCTCTGAGCTGAGTATAACCTCAGTCTTTCTCTGAATTTCTGTAAGATTTTATTTCTGCCTCAGTCAAAGCTTTTACTGATTTCTCCCATCTAATAGAGTGACTACCTTCATTTATTCACATACTGCATAGTGGCTAAATAACCCATTCAGATTAGGCATTGAAGATGCAAACACTGAATAAGACTAGTTTTCTTACTTTGACTAATTCTTCAGCTATATTTTTATTCAGGAGTGTTCCCTAATATGTCTGAAGGGAGAGAAGAGAGCCTTTGTAGTAAAATAATTTGGGGAAACATTGCATATACTCTTAACTCTGTATATAAGCCCTGAAAGTCCTACAAAATAGACCTGTTGCTGTTTAACTGTATTTCAAACTCTGTGTTCATATATGAGCAGTTAGTAGTCCTTGAACTGAATTAGATCATGAGTGTCTGCGTCCTAACATAGTAACACATATAAGGGGTAAATATTAATAAGAGATCACCTAGAAATAATTATTGATTTTAATTACTGAGCTTTCAATAGTTCAGACATATGTATTTCCTATAAAATACAAAATAGCTTCTGTGAAATGTTAAAAATGGCAGACACCTAAGCCAGATTATTCGAATTTATACATCAATCACAAGTTCAAAACGTGAGTTTAGAGAATGTCTGTAACAAAACAGGTACAGTAAGACTCCCCCAGGAACCCTGTGTACTGCAGCTGATCTACTGTGAGAGTAGATAAGAAATGAGCAAAATGCTGTGTTCTAGCTGTGTGGCTGGAGGCTCTTCCCTCTGCTGCCAGCTGTGGGCCTGCAGAGGACGGAGATGAACTGTCCACCTGCTCTTCAAGGTACACGGTCGCTCCCACTCATGTACATTTGACAGGGATGCTGCAGAGATGAGTGTCGGCTTTTGATGAATAGGAGCAAAGGCTCCGTCAACTTCAAGCATAGAAGCACATGCACTGAAGAAAGTACCAGGACCCTGAACTAGACTCACCAAATGACATGTGAAGTTTTTACTTCATTGCCCAGAACTAGAGTTGAAAAACAGGCTTAAGAAGCTAGAAGTGTGTTGTGAAGAAATATATGTCTCTTGGGATAGAGGAAAAAGTGAGTGTATTAGCTATGTGCATCTCTGCTCTAAATTGGGGCCTGGGATGTGATACTGATTTGAGGGGAAAATGTCCAGTGTTGCTTAATTTCCATCCAGTTTCCATCTCTATACTACTAATAAACAGCTTAGTCTAAATGCTAATGAGTTAATATTTTTATTTACTCCTCCCAGCCTTGTCCTTAATTTTTTTATCTGTAGCAGAATCTCAGTGTTTCTATCTGTAGAGCTGCGTGTGTTGAGGTGTTTGTGTGTGTACACGTGCACAGACATGCAAGGAAGATCTTGGACCTACCAGGCATGACTTTATCATTCTCAAGCATAGTACATTGTCACATATATTCTATCTAAAAGTATTTTCATATATTTCCAATTTTCATTTATTGCCATAGTAATTAGCAGGCCTTAAAACTATTCAGTTAGGCATCAAGTAAGTATAGTATCTCACCTGTGGATTAACAAAAATTATAAAATTTTTAAGTAGAGAAAATTTCACAGAAACAGAATAGTGCTTTAAATCTAATGGTTACCAAATTCAAAATTAAGCTCAGAATTGACTAAATGTTATTTGCCAAAAAGGGGATTTATTTCTTAAAAATGCCATCTTGGGGCAGGGATAAAATATTTTCTATAGTGTACGGCTTACAGAAAAATATTAAATTATAGCAATTATTGTCCTAATTTTGAGGACACAGTAATTAGCTGTGTCCTCATGATCTTTTTAAATAGAAAGATGGTTGACCCTCCATTGTAATTTTGATCCATTAGTTAATTTAAAAGTTAAATATAATGCTACATGTTTAAAGTTTCTTATAGTAGAAGCTCTGGAAATATGAATGTTTATATTAATCCTTGAGAACAAAGCTGTGAATATTATGTTTATTACAAGGCATTACTTTATTTAAGCCTTAAATCGAAATTATCCTTAAGAACTTGGAATAGCAGATTATCAATGTGTATTTTTTCAATGTTTCCTCTGTATGTATGAATTCATTTCTTGGTCAAAAACTCTCATCATAATTGTGAACCTGTAGCACTTCTAAAAATCCATTTTGTCAAAGCTTTATTCAATATTTAATGCAGAGATATGTGGTACTGCTTCCATCGCTCTCAATTATATGTAAGGAAAACATGTTCTAGAGCCAAGGCGCAGTATGTACCGAATGCCTGCAATGTTCCTGGTGCATTCTGAGAAGCTGAGAATGCTGAATAATCAGCATCTCTGATTGTCTGGATTTGTTAAGAATCTGTGCTACATGGATCACAAAACCTAGCAGCACACTGACTAGAGCAACTGTATACATTGGTTAATTAGCTTTTTTAAAAGGAAGTCACAGTACACACTGACTTATATCTGTGATTCAGTTGCATTTTGACATAAACATATGTAGTCATTGCCAGCAGAAACTTGTAACATGGAGGAAAAAAATTTTTTTCTGTTCCTGTTTAATTTAGCTATCAATTCACACATCAGAGAATGAGACTGGATGTGTTGTCTATCTTCCTGTGTCTAAATTCATATTGAAGTGTGTGCCACAGCGCCCTTAGTTAGGGTTTAGAGGTTGTTTGTGTTAACCTAAACTTGAAGGCATGAAACATAATATCCCAGTAGCTGGTCCCAAGACCAATTCAGGGATTGGTCTTGCATGGACATTGACTTGATTTGTATGGCAGAGAAAGCTAAACCATACTTGTTCATCACATCATGAGATGATGGGATTTATCATCAAACTCTATGTACACATTCCTGAAATCTCAAGATAAATTCAAGTGGCTTTGATATATTTTTTTCTTTGATATTGTCAATATTATATTGAAATGGACACCTCTAAAACTTCCGCAAAGAAACAGTAATTGATATTTGTATGTTTTTTAGGTAGGTATAGAAAACATCTCTGTTTTCATTAAATATATTGTTGTGACAAGTGTACACATATCATGATAGTTTCTTTCAAATTATTTTTACCCCTTTAACGAATTTACCACAAAGTGAATATTTAGAGTTTCAGAGCAAAAAAGAAACAAAGGCTACCTAGCATATGTTGTACTTGAACTATTATTATCTTACTAATGTGTTTTATACTAATAACACTCAATGTTGTTCTTTCAAACTTGTGACTTTGAACATAGAAAATTATCTTAGAGGTTTTAAATAGGTCTCTAACTAGATAACAGAATTGCAAAGATGTGAGGGACAGATGCTTTCATCTGAAACCGACTTACACAAATTCTGAAACTAATTTGGAAGTGATAAAAATTAATTTGCGCACTTTAATTGGAAGCAGCCTTCTGCATGAAAGAAAGCGGAGAGAGCAGGCAATTTGTGCTAAAAGCTGATTGAATTTTTTGTCAGGTAGGTATGTTGCACTTGGCCGCTTATCCTCTAGAGTCCCTCTTTGCAATATATTACGACCCATCTCTGACTGGTGTTCTTTAAAAGGATCAATGCTATTCCTGTTGAATCCCTGGAGTTCAAAATTTCATTGATCTTGGGACTTGACATTTCTCATTACGTGCTGTAGCTTCCAACATGATAGTCACAAGCGGGGAAGTTAACATTGGTGTCTCTTCAGTAAACACTGAAAATACATTGGGACCTCAGCTCAAAAGCCAGTTGTTTTTCAAGTATGTAGCTTAAATGTTTATATCAGACATAAGGTGCTTTGTAGAGAGCTTGATGATATAGTGAAATTTTTAGAATCATTGCAGTATGAAACTTTGGAAGGGGACTGACCGTTGAGCCTTTCAAATCAAATCTACATATATTCCTTAAGTAATATGTGTGAGACATTACTAGGTGCTGTTAAGATCCACATTTAACACAGGTCCTTTAGCTCATGCAAAGCATGAAAGCAGAAGCCAGCTGGACAGGAGCACCCAGCTGTGCACACACCTCTCCGGGCTCCATTGTGCGGGCCTTGGCTGTGGACACAGCCCTCCACCACCCACAGCAGCTGCATCACATCGCTGTCTTTGTTAGCATCCAGCCTTCTTTAAAGACTGTTCTGGTGCCCAGCTCCACTGACACCATAAACCAATGGTTTTACAAGAGATGACAGCATGGGGAAAGCCTAACAGAAATACTTTCCGAGCATACAGTGGCACCTAGGTCCACAAATTTTATTTCCATGAGAATTAAGTTCATGAACCAAGGTGCCATTGTGTTTATATATTAGCTATATCAGATGAGTTCTCAGAGCAAGGAATCTTATCTATGGTGGCAAATACTAAAGTGCCTTTTATTGTATACCAGAAGAAGCACAGTTAGATAGGTTATAATTCTCACCTCATAGGAGTTTCGCAGAGTCACGTGCTGGGCCAAGGATGCCATAGGCCACTCAGTGACTAACATCTGGATACACTTGAGGGTCCATAACAAGAAAGGGGGTTGTTTGCTATTCAGTCTCTGATTTTCCTGACCTTTGTGAGGCTGAGGCTGCAAGAACGGTGTTTGGCCTCGGTCAGCAGCAAAATAAAAAACGATTAAATGAGCGATTAAATTGTTTTCTGATCAGGTAGTTTGAGTGCACAGGCAGGGGGGAGCTGGGAAGTCGTGTACAGCCCAGCTTCCCAGGGGAAAGGGGATGGATTGTTCTCTGGTCAGC